ATATATATATATATATATATATATATATATATATATATATATATATATATGTACGAAAATCCATCTGGTAGTCAACCCACTGCCTTGTCCTCGACCCTAACACATTAATCGATTTTTGTCCCCCTTGAGAGCTTCAAGAGATCCAAATACTTCTGAAAATTTGTTCTTGGCAAAATGCATTCTTAGGATTTTTAAAAGTTTAATTGCAGTTACCAAGTAAATGGGAATACTATTTATTATACCTCCATATTATGTTAAACCTCTGGCGATATACAGTGCTGATAAGGCTCTGAAGGATTGGAAATACCAGGGTCAACGTTATACGGAGATCATATGGGAGTCATGTGGACAGCAATTATTTGAATCTTTCGCAGTTTTTATTCTCATGGGTTTGGGAGTAATGGCAAAATCAGGAATTAGGACATAATATAGGTGTTTTGTGGATTATCTAGAGAAATTTTCTTCATGAAGACAATTTAGAGATACCTAGAGTATCGAAACACGTATGAAAAAATCCTATAGAATTTCCTATAGGAAATTTTCGAATTCTCCATAGGATTTCCTACAGGAAATCCTAAAAGAAATCCTATAGGATTTTTTCATACGTGGCAGGGAAACATAAATTTTATGGTATTCATAATTGCTCTTTCCCGTACGCCGTTTCGTAATTTTTCAGGGTCAGGTCAACTACTCTGAAAGGTATGAATATTTTCTTGTTGATCCTTCCCTAGAATTATAAGGTCTATGTATACTCCGGTTGGTCTTCAACCTCCGTAGAGGTAAGACGTGTTTTGATATCGCTCCTCAGAGCGCCCCGGTGTGATAAGTTACACGTGTTATTTACACCACAGTGAATCTCAATAACGAATTTAGCCCACCAGAGCTACATTCGAAATATCTGCATTCCACCAATCTTTCTCCAAGCGTTATGGAGGAAAGTCGAGAGACTTTAGTCAATCCAAGTTCACAAAACACCCAGAAAGCTCAAACGATGTCTGTTCAGACCCCTCTTTCATTCGCAGAAGTAACCCAGGAAAATCAAGAGTTTGTTCCCACTGAGGAACAAGGCATTATCATCAACGCAATCCAAGGCACACCATATAAAGAATATGTCTATGCGATCGGGGAATTCGTTGTACTAGAACACGTTAAGGGAGTCGAAAGACTCACGGGAAACCGCGTCGTGATCTATGTTTCAACCCCAGAGCTTGTGGACAAAATTACTGCACCCGAGACCAACATTAAAATAGGAGAAAACAAGTTGCACATCACCCCTGAAAAGGCCAAAACCCGAAAAGTGGTTTTATCAAACGTAATCCCGAAAATACCAAACTCGGTAATCGAGGAAGTATTACGTGGTAAAAGAATAGAACCACTTACGAAGATTTCTACACTGTATCTAATGCTAGACAGAGAAGGCTACAAGGTAGCTACTGCTAGGAGACTGTTGATGATTAAAGAAGAGGACGTCCAGCTTATCCACCAAAGCTTCAATGTCATTCACCAGAATAAACTATATACGATTACAACCACCGTGGATCATTTCAACTGTTTTAAATGCAATACACCTGGACACATAGCCAAAAACTGTCCCCAAGATTTAACACAAACAAGAAAATCGAACGTTACACACAGACTCGCAAGACAACGCGAAATAACACCTCCCAGCTCTTTAACTCTCAGCGACAGGTACTGATGACGTAACAAGGCAAGGAGACAATACCCATGGTCAAGGCGGTGATGAAGCAGAGGCGGGAAATAATACCGAGCAAATAATAACGGCTAATCCGGTAGACACAACACCAGAGTCTATGGATATTGAAACAGTAGGCAATCCCAAACGAGCCTTACCCGAGACACCTGACAACGACATAATCCTCGAGAGAGAAATAAACGATGATGATGGATTTGAGCTCCCTAAAGAGCAATTAAAAAAAAAGAAAAAGACAAAGACATCCAAAGCCCGACATCTAACTCTTGAAAATATGAGGATTTTCTCTCCTCGTTTGGCTAGAGAACTACAAAAAAAAAATCCAGAGGAACATGCAGTAACTTACGAACAATTCATTCAGCTCATTGATGATTCCTACCAAATCAAAAATGCTCGTGAGCTGGCCAAGAAGTTGGGGACAGACCCCAAGGACCTCGCCACAACACTACGAACCTTTACTATATATATTGATGAACGGCTGCTTAAAGGCCGGGTTACGCAAGTGGCGAACAAGCTCGACAAAGTCTCTACTGATCCAGACGTAGATGGCTACATCACGGCCTCTTCCACGAGCTCGCAAAACTAAATCTTACCATGGATGATCAACAACCAAACCAGCAACCTGGACCCATTGTAATTCAGTGGGACCTTAAAATCATCTTCTGGAACATTAGAGGAATCAACGCCCATCGGGAGGACATAGAACTTGCCCTTAAGGACATTGACATCTTCATTGGTGTTGAGACCAAAATCAATCCAAATGACAACCGACACTACAACTTCTCTGGCTTCAGTACCTATCGTATAGATCGACCTATCCTACCAGACGAAATAGGACACGGAGGTATTATAATGATTGTAAAAAATAATTTATCCGTTAAAACTCACGAAGACATTACTAACCCCCACCCGAATGTGGAACTTGCAGCCATCGAAATCAATAACGTAGAATCAAAAATAAATATTCTGGTATGTTATCGAAACCCACAAAGTAATCTGGATCATGAGCACTGGGAAAATTTTTTCGACATATATGGGCAATATGACAATTGTTTACTAGTCGGAGATTTTAATGCGCACCATGTTGCATGGAACTACAGTCAAAACAAACCTGATGGCTTAAGGCTCTATGACTGCATAGAAAAAAATGATATATTTTTGCATAATACTGACACTCTCACACATGTAGACGTTTATAGGGGAAAAAAGTCAAACATTGATCTAGTGTTGAGTAGCCCGGAAATCGCAGATATTATATCCGTTAGTGCACATGATGAAACCTAGGGCTCCGATCACTACCCTCTGAAAATTAATCTGAACGTTCGAAAAACCCAATATATTAGAAAATCATTTAGAGTCACGTCAGTACAAACAAATTGGGATACACTTGAAAGCTTATTAAATAATTCATTTTCACTATTTCTGTCACCAACATTTGATAAACTCAGCCCATTTGAAAAATACAAATATTATATAGAAAATATTGTTACCAATGTGGCTAAATGCACTCCGAAGAAAAAAACCGTATCAGCTAAAATACATAGAAACCCCGTTAAATGGTGGGATCCAGAGTGTGCCAAGGTCAAGAGACTCCGGAGGGCTGGTTACCTGAGGTGGAGATGTACCAAGAGGCTCAGGGATCTCATAGCTTACAAAAAAGCCACTGCCATTGCCAGGAAAACTTATAGAAAAAAGAAGAAACAATGTTTCATTAAATTTACGGAAAAATTAAACTCTAGGAAAAATACGAAATATATCTGGAACACGTGTAAAGTTCTGAAAAATTCCTGGACAAATACAAAATCGCACAATCCCAGAGATTATGTCAAGATACAGGAACAAATTATTCCGGCAATGGATAAACTAGCCCGAGACGGAAATCCCACCGACCTTGCCTACATTCCCCCTCTCAGAACCAAATTCTTTGTTTGATCAGTCTTTCTCCTTTGACGAATTTAACTATGCACTACACCATAGAAACAGTCTTTCGGCTCCGGGACTCGATGGTATCGATTATAATTTACTGAAAAAACTCCCAGCCCAGCTCAAGTTAATCCTCTTAGACATCTTCAACGAAATTCACCATTCTGGAGAGTTTCCTCCAGAATGGAAAAACACATTCCTACACTTTATCCCCAAGAGCAACAATTCAGGAGTCAGACCCATAGCCCTAACATCTTGTCTACTTAAACTGTATGAATCGATAGTGAAAAATAGACTCCAATGGTGGGTCGAGCGGAATAAACGCCTTCCTTTCTCTCAAACAGGGTTCAGATCTGGACTGTCCTGCAGGGACAACTTGCTCAACCTCACTCTACATGTAGAGGATTCTTTTAGAGATCAAGAGCAAACCCTAGCGGTTTTTCTGGACGTTGCTGGAGCATTTGACAATGTCGATGGGGATAAATTACTGGATATCCTTGTTGAGGTTGGGTGCTACAGTACCGTCCTCAGATTTATCAAATTCCTCACCCACGGAAGGGTTCTTCATTGCGATGCGTTGGGTGAGGAAAGTAGAGTTGCCAACATGGGGCTTCCCCAGGGGGGCATGCTCTCCCCCCTCCTCTACACAATCTACACTAGAAACATACTCAAAAAAGTAAATTCAAAAAGTAGATTCAAAAGTTGAATCATCTCTCTTCGCTGACGACATAGCCTTGTTTATTCGCGTCTCAGACTACAAAACCGACAAAGCTACACTAGAACAATCAATACAACGAGTAATGACTAATCTCAGTGCGTTAGGCCTTGAAATCTCCCCCCAAAAAACAGTCCTTTTGAGTTTTAGTAAAAAAGGCTCTGTACCAGAAATTTCCGAGATCAAAATAAAAGACCACACAATCGTATCCTCTCCAACTGCAAAATTCCTAGGTATACACTTTGATCAAAAACTGAATTTTAATCATCATATATCCATGCTCCAACAGCTGAAAGCTCTGAACATTGTAAAATTTCTACGGGGAACATGGTGGGGAACAGACCCTGAAACACTGATTGGACTGTACAAAAGCTACGTTCGATCCATAATTGATTATGGTCTTTTTGCTTATTTCCCCAATACTAAAAAAT